CATATTCCCTTCTTTATCGTATATCGCGGTATATTATATATATTTACAAAGTTTTTCTAGCGAAGTCTTCATTATGAAATTATTCGATAGGAACCACTTTGTTCGTACACTTTACACACTGGTCAAACAAATACGAATGCAAGGTTTTAACGAAAGCCGTCGCCAAATGTCATAACAAGTCATAACCACTAACTGTATCTAGGGTGTTGAACGACTTTGTACTGTTTATCAATATTCAGCAGAGATATTTTTCTGAATTTCATATAGATAAGTTGTAACAAGCCCTAGGATCATATTTAAATAGATCGTACAGTGTAAATTGTATCTTTCGGGGAACTAGTTCTTTCGGGGAAATAGTTTTCGGGAAAACGTTCCTTTCGGGGAACTGGTTCATTCGGCGAATCGTATTTCAGGGATAAAACTTTCGGGGAAAGCGTTTTCGGGGAAAAGTCGTACAATCCACTTTACTGCTCGCTTGTGCAGTCAAGTTCAGTTGTTTGGTGCCCTTTCCATGCTAGCTGGTTCACTAGAATTGAATCCGTTCAACGCAAGTTTGTGAGATATGCTCTTCGTTTCCTCAACTGGCGTGACCCAACGAACTTGCCACGGTACGAGGCGCGTTGCCGTCTTCTGGGAATCGAGCCATTAGAAGTAAGACGGACGGTCGCTCAAGCTATGTTCGCTGGAAAGCTGCTTACGGGTGACATTGACTGTCCAACACTGCTGTCACAGCTAAATATGTATGCCCCTGAGAGGTCTCTTCGTCAACGCGACTTTCTGTTTTTGGAACCACGGAGCCGGAATTATATACAACACGAGCCAATTCGAGCAATCAGCCGGCAATTCAACAACTTTTTTTATATGTTCGACTTCAGCTGACGTGTTTCGTCATCGGCTACTTGGCCTTTTCCGTACCGTTGACCGTAACTATTTAGTTGAAGTTTTATTCATTTAGACCGAGATTTAGACAATAATTGTCAGTTGAATTTTTTCAATAAACAACGAACAATAAACAAATGTAAGTACTTGAACAAAAAGAAATAATTTAACTCAAATGCTTTAACTGCATATATAAGAAATTTCGCGTATTGAGATACAATATTGTCGCTAGACTTGGAAACCGAAATGACCCACTCGCGACAATCGATTTTACTCTCGTTCTGTACGTTAAACATAACGTCGCATCTTGCGATCGGAATCCTAACAACAGCCGTAAATCTACTGGCGGAGGTGTCCTTGTAGCTGTCCGTAGCGGGTTGGAGGCAAAGGCCATCGAGAACGATTCATGGAACAATGTGGAGCAGGTTTGGACAGCCATCAATCTGGGTGATCGCACACTATTTCTATGCGCTCTGTACATTCCACCTGATCGAGTCCGCGACAATGAACTCATCGATACTCACTGTCGGTCAGTTTTCACAGTTGTCGAAAGTTCCACTCCAGTTGATGAGATATTCATTTTTGGTGACTTCAATCTGCCAGGCGTTTCGTGGAGTCCATCTCATAGCGGATTCCTGTATCCAGATCCTGATAGATCTACATTTCACGCAGGAGCTATTAGCCTTCTCGACAACTACAGCGCAGCGACGCTTTCTCAAATTAACCATGTAGTTAATGAAAATGGTCGTAGTTTGGACCTCTGCTTCGTGAGCACACAGGACAGGGCTCCATCAATTTCCTCGGCTCCTTGTGCACTAACTAAGCTAGTTCCACATCACCCTCCTCTAATTGTCACTGTTGAGGACAAACTCGTGCGTGATTTTGGCGACTATACTGCTACGGTTTCTTATGACTTCCGTAAAGCTGACCACCGTAGCATCATAGATGTATTGTCTAGCATGGTATGGGAGAACATCCTTGATCCAGATGACGTTGAGGCTGCAGCGCAAACCTTTTCACATGTCTTGGCATATGTCATTGACAGACACGTCCCGAAAAGAACTCACCACAAAGTGTCTCACCCTCCCTGGCAAACGAGAGAGCTACGTAGGTTGAAGTCAATCAAGAGAGCAGCATTGAGAAGATTTACGAAGCATCGCACACTTCCTCTGAAACTACATTATGTGAGGCTGAATCACATGTACCAGCGAGTCAGTCGTGAATGCTTTTCAAATTTCCAACGAGGCATCCAGCGCAAACTTAAGCTACACCCGAAATCCTATTGGAACTACGTGAACGAGCAACGCAGGGAATCCGGCCTCCCATCGTCTATGGAATTCAACGGAGAAGTTGCTGCCACTGTTCAGGATATATGCCACCTTTTTTCCGAAAAGTTTTCCAGTGTATTCACTAATGAGACACTAACTGACGACCATATTAACCTGGCTGCCAGGAACGTTCCAGTAAACGATCAAACGCTGGGTGCAATTGATGTAAATGCAGAAATGATTTCTAAGGCCGCGACTCTGCTCAAGTCATCCTTCAATCCTGGACCTGATGGAGTTCCATCTGTATTTTTGAAGAGACATATTGCTAGCTTGTTAATTCCGCTTCTTCGCCTGTTCCGAATGTCTCTCTCAGGTGGCATATTTCCATCTTGCTGGAAATTTGCGCACATGTTTCCCGTCCACAAAAAAGGAAGGAAACGAGCTGTGGATAACTATCGAGGAATTACATCGTTAAGTGCCGTTTCGAAGCTATTCGAGCTAGTGATTATGGAACCGTTGCTGTCCCATTGCAAGCAGTTTTTGAGTGCTGATCAACATGGGTTTACTGTCGGCCGCTCTACAACTATCAATCTGCTGTGTCTCACATCGTATATAACCGAAAGCATGTCGGATCGGGTTCAAACGGACGTTATTTATTCAGACCTATCCGCAGCATTCGACAAGTTGAACCATGCTATTGCGATTGCTAAACTCGGCAGGCTCGGTGTATGCGGTAATCTTCTGAGTTGGTTTCGATCATATCTTACCGGTCGGCAACTAAAAGTTGCCATAGGAGATTGCAGATCAGCTAGCTTCTTCGCCACATCAGGTATGCCTCAGGGAAGCCACATGGGACCGTTAATTTTTATACTGTACTTCAACGACGTGCATCTGGTCATCGAAGCTCCTCGGTTATCATATGCAGATGACCTCAAAATCTTCCTACGAATCTGCTCCATTGCTGACTGTCACTTTCTTCAACGTCAACTGAATGTATTCGCTAGTTGGTGCAGGTTAAACAGAATGGTAGTGAACCCAGCCAAATGCTCCGCTATTACGTTCTCACGAAAACAACAACCGATAATATTTAGCTATGACCTGCTTGGCTCGACAATCGAACGCGTGAATCAGGTGAAAGACTTGGGTGTGATCTTGGATTCGCAGCTTTCTTTCAAGCAACACATTGCATATGTTGTTGATAAGGCGTCAAGAACTTTAGGGTTCATTTTTAGGATAGCTAAAAACTTCACTGATATCTACTGTCTAAAATCTCTCTATTGTTCGCTTGTTCGATCGACGCTTGAGTATTGTTCAGCGGTTTGGAACCCAAACTACAACAACGGTGCCGAGAGAATTGAATCTGTTCAACGTCGCTTTCTTCGTTTTGCGTTGCGTAGATTGCCTTGGAACGATCCGTTTCGATTACCAAGCTACGAAAGCCGTTGTCAACTTATCGACCTAGAACTTCTCCGGACTAGAAGAGACACAAACAGAGCCCTTACCGTGGCCGATATTCTACAAGGAAGGACAGATTGTGAGGCTATCCTGAGGCAAATTGACCTGAATGTTCAACCCCGACCGCTTCGTAATAACCTTATGCTAAGACTGCCTCTACGTCGCACAAATTATGGAGCGTACGGTGCGATTTGCGGACTGCAGAGAACATTCAACAGAGTTGCATCCGTTTTCGACTTTCATCTCTCCCGTGATGCGCTTCGTCGAAAGTTTTCTTCTGTTTTTCGCCGGCAGGAGTTAAGATATTGACTATAAGATATACGTTTTTTAATGTTTTTTATGTTATGACCATGCTTGAATGTATTTTTTTTTTACCATAGTTGATAAGGTTTAAATCATTGGGGCTTCATCCAGCCTGTTGATGTAATTAAATAAATAACAAATAAATAACAAATCTAGTGCGAACTATAGCGCATCATTTAACAAATACAGCGCAATAGACGTTATGTTTAACGTACAGAAAGAGAGTAAAATCGATTGTCGCGAGTGGTTCATTTCGGTTTCCAAGTCTAGCGACAATAATAATAATACACTGAAGTCGCTTTTTAAGCCATTTTTAACACGTTTTTTTTTTACGCGGATTTCAGAATCTACACGGTTTTTTTATGCGGATTTCGGATTTTTTTACTCGGATTTCAGAATTTACGCGGTTTATCGTTATACACTGGAGTCGCTTTTTACGCGGTTTTTTACACGGTTTTTTTTACGCGGATTTAGGAATTTACGCGGTTTTTTTTAAGCGGCACGTATCCCCCGCGTAAAAAGCGACTCCAGTGTAATCGTGATATTATCTGTTTCTTTGCTAACAAAACACGCCGAAAACGACGCAGATATCATTGCCATACAAATTCCTATGGCGACGATTTCTGCGTCGTTTTCGGCGTGTTTTGTTACCAAAAAAACAGATAATATTAACTGCTTATTTGTTTGTTAAATTGCGTTGTACAACGATTTGTTTTGATAAAAACATTCAGCTCTTTTGAATGATTTGATGAATTACCCATTTATTGTAACAAAATCATGTTTTTTTTTCGGGAAATAATTACCTCCTAAAGCGGTCCAAAATACATCCGTTACCCTATATATGGTGTGACAAGTACAATCATACTCTATATGCTCAGGGAAATCGAGAAATTTTTCAACCCGAAAAATACCTAGACCAGACCGGGAATCGGTCTTGGTGGTCTTGCTTTGTAGCTGCGCCTTTACTGACTGAACTAAGGGAGGCCCCCGATGTAACATTCAACTACATGCTTTGCTCAACCATACCTTAGAATGTTGCTAGAATCCTAATAGGTTTTAACGTTCTTTTTGTTCTACCATAGCAGAAAATGGATGTTATAAATGCAATAAATGATTGTATATTTCTTTCCCCAGTTAGCATTAGTCGGAGTCATCCATATCATCGTCTTCGTCCTCATCGTCGGAGGTTTCATCCGGATCATTGACCTGATTTTCACATTTCTCACACTGACATTGGAACAAATAGTTCTCGCTGAGCATCTTTTGTCGAGAGTGACGCGACCGTTCCAGTGCACATTCATCTAGATAAGAAATGCAAATTTCTTCACCTACCTTAATGTCTCGAGTCGTCGTCAGTGCCACTACGTTGTTCGAATGTGGGAAACGGCACTCAGCATTTGGAGTGCAGCTGTGATTAACTTTGCTCTGAAAGCTGTACAAAGCCGATCCTTCATTGTTGAGAAAACTTCCCACCACTTCATCTAACTTGTTATACAAATTGTCAATCAGTACGTCTAACGATTCGCGCCGATTGTCCGGGAGCTCCAGTTCCGATACATTTCGGACCCAATCGGCAAATGAGCTGGTGCCAATGCCCTGACCGTTGGTGCCTATCAAAGCCAGCAGTGACCTGAAACCGCTCAACGTTAGCCACTGAAGACGTTCGTCCGTAGTCGGTTCAAAAGCCCTGCATATCAGCTCATACAACTCATCAATTTGCTGTGAGAAATTTTCTCCAAGCATTTTATGGAAGATCATCAGGTCTTCGTTCATCGTCTGACTAACGAAATCCTCAAATTTGGCTCGTAGTCCCGTAATGTCGTCGCTTTGCTTGAACATGCTGATGATTTTCACCACCAGCTGGATGCTAGATGTTTCAGGCGGATAATGCATCTTCCTGAAAATACAAAGTATTAGAACAAACTATTGGTTCTTCAAGTATCTTCTTTATGTGATTAATCATACTTCCAAAACTCTACAAGTGCATTCGTAGGATGTTCCAAATTTCCCTTTTCCGCTCCCAAGCACAAAGCTCTGTGGTACAGTTTAACAGCATTCTGCAGGCACTCTTCACTACAGTACACTTCCCGGCAATCAGGGCACTTTGTATGACCGCTGAGCTGTTCCTGTACTGGACAGCATTCTACGTATGGTAAACTGATCGAGAAGTCATTCGCAAGTCGGCGAACGTTGGTTTCGGCTGTTTCCAACGGTTTCAGACAGTATTCACATGCCAGATACCCGTAAGTATAGTTCCATGAGAATTGAGCCGAAACCAACGGAGCTTCCTCGAACAGAACTGTATCCGCTTTGATAGGCGCCGTGGCGAAGACTCCTCTACCCTGTAAACAAGACGAATGATCAACTATGCTTAATGTAAAATCTTCATGTTAGTATACTTTTTGAGTGGTCGTTCGCACTTCCACAACAGACATTTTGTTGTGGATTATTATTTTAGATTACAATTTAGCTGTGCCTTTTAAAAAAGCCGGAATTTTCTGTTTCACGTGCTTAAGCTGATGTTTATTTTTGCTATACCGCCCGAAGCGGTCGAGAGAGGAGAACCCGCTTTCGAGTGTCAGGGAAAACGTCAGAATACCGATGTCATTCCAATGCAATGACTGGATTACCGAGGTATAGCAATCGGTTAGGTTGTGTGAGTAAAACCCCTGTACGATACAAGCAATTAGTGACGTCACTACTTGCGTTTACGTTGATTTTTTGGATTACTAATCCAACCATATTTCTTGATCTGCTTCACCTCTTTTTGATCATTGATTCCAATGACTTTATATCTCGCGTCACTTTTCAAATAGACCAATGTAACATATCCACCATTTTGAGAAAATCGAAGTTGAAGTTCGACAGATCTCGCGTCACTTCCCGCATAAACGCGAACCATCACATGACCTTACCGATAATGGTTATAAATTGTTTATAATCCCTGCTAAACTTCAACTGAAATGGTTATGGAACTTTACATGAACGTTTAATGATAAAGTTTTAACCTTAAGTATTATAGTTTTTTGGAAGTGGACCTTACAAATAATGGTTTGTTGAGAACCATTACCATTCAAAATTCTTGTTTTCTCCATACATTTTCGGAAAGAAAACTATACTAAAACCTTTTAACTTATGGTTTGAGAACATTAATGGTAATGGTTATGGTAACCAGTAAGGTCCATGAATGGTTTTGTAACATCGATCAACTTTATGTGGAATATATCGCGAATTGGTTGCCTGTAAATTACTGATTACCAATTCACGATATATTTCACGTAAAGTTGAGCGATAATACAAAACCATTAATGGACCTTACTGACTACCATAACCATAACCATTAATGTTCTCAAACCATAAGTAAAAACGTTCTAATATAGTTCTCTTTCCGAAAATGTATGGAGAAAACAAGAATTTGGAATGGTAATGGTTCTTAACAACCCATTATTTGTAAGGTCCGCTTCCAAAAAACCATAATACATAAGGTTAAAACTTTATCACACAAACGTTCATGTAAAGTTGCATAACCATTTCAGTTGAAGTTTAGCAGGGATTATAAACAATTTATAACCATTATCGGTAAGGTCATGTGATGGTTCGCGTTTATGCGGGTTTTCAAATAAACCAATGTAACAAATGTAAACAAATCGAGTTAAGCGATACAAACTATTGCTCTTCTATCATTGTATGTGATACAAAAACATCCATCCAAATTTACTTTCATTTATTTAAGATAATCATTGATCAAAAATTGTCCAATGTACAGTTTGAAATGATGGGTACATGCACAAACGAATTCGTATGGGTACATGCACAAACGAATAAGTGACAGACGGAGCGGCTCGAAAACTTTGGTGACTAACCTGCTATTGCAATTTTTCAGTGTACCTCATGGCAACACCACTACTACTGGATTGTACCACATGGCAACACTACTACTGGATTGTACTAGCATTTTCATCAAATGTATTGGAATGTTTTGGTTCTATCTCTTTCACTCTACTCAAAACTGCATAAAAAAAGACAAAATGATACACTCTTTGCACACTGTCAAAGAATCATTGTACACAAAATCAACTTTGTTCAAATCAAAACAAAAAAACTAACCCATCTGGTGGATGATGGCACAAGCTTCCAAGAAAATTCTATTACAGTGAACCACATTATTTAAATGGATTTCTTCGCCAGTTAGTCGTCTGTCACTTCGTTTGTGGGTACATGATTGTTACTTCGGTCATTCGGACTGCCTAACATGATTGGTGCTCATTTTCCAAAGGCGGGGCCAATCTAAAGTTAGGTACTGTACTCTGAAATCTGTGAAAGGGAATCTAGTATCACAAACGAAGTGACAGACGGAGCGGCTCTAAAACTTTGGTGACGCACCTGCTATTGCAATTTTTCAGTGTACCACATGGCAACACCACTACTACTGGACTTTACCACATGGCAACACTACTACTGGATTGAACTAGCATTTTCATCAATTGAACTAGAATGTTTTGGTTCTATCTCTTTCACTCTACTCTAAACTGAAATGCATAAAAAAAAAATACAAAATGATACACTATTTGCACACTGTCAAAGATCATATTGCACACAAAATCAACTATGATCAAATCAAAACAAAAAAACTAGCCCATCTGGTGGCTGATGGCACAAGCTTCTAAGAAAATTCTATTACAGCGAACCACATTATTTTAATTGATTTCTTCGCCAGTTAGTCGTCTGTTACTTCGTTTGTGCTAGTATCATGTAGACAAAACTTCCAATGTAACACTCATTGATTATGTCATTGAGAAAAATCGTCCAATGTACAACTCGACTTGTAGAAACGTCCTATGTGGTTTTTTCTATGTTGTAGCATGAAATTCAAAGTAAAATTGTGATTTTACCGTTTCTTCTGAATTTTCAACGTTATTATAGACTGAACCATTTGGTGGATTATTTTAACTTTTAATAATAAAATAATGTGGTTCTCTGTAATAGAATTTTAGTCCACCTTTCGCCCCTCACCGCCAGGTTCGCTAGTATTTTTGTTTTGAATTAATTCAAGTTGGTTTTGTGTGCAATGATCTGGCAACCCGTTTTTCCTCGCTCGCGTTGACGAGGTGCTGTTTTCTCACTCATCGAAGGAAATTTTGATTAGAGTGAGAAAGTAAGGAACAGTCAGCGCGGGAACCGTGTGCGTTACTATAGGTGCGGCAGAAGGAATGTAGGCAACTCTTTCGTTCTCACGGTGTTCTTACGCATGATCCAATGCTACGTCACACTAGATTATGCATAAGAACGTCGTGATAATGAAAGAGCTGACTTGTTGCCTCACCAATCACATTGAGATGTTTTTTTTTTATTCTGAGAAAAGTTGACCTGAGTAGCCAGCCACTTTGGGAAGCAATGTTTTAATTTCATTCATAATGTAGAGGGATGGCGGTTTCAGTGAAACAGTGAGCAAAAAAAAACGTTTGCTAGTATGGAAAACCGTGGCATACATAGTGGTCCCATTCTACTAGCGGTTGCAGAATATTTCCCTGCTGTGACGATCCGACAGGGAACGTTGATTACGTATTCCGGCCATGCTTTTGGACATTGCTGTGCGGACCATTTATTGGTATCATGCTGCCCGGCATTCTTTGTTGCTTAGCAAACATGTTACCACAGACAAACAAACATAACACATTGAATATTTCTCACTGTAAAACATCGTCGCTAAGACATTACCGCCATCTGTTGAGTACACTGTGGTGGGCACTACACTGAACAGATGGCGGTAGTGTGTAAACGTCAAACACAAGGGAATTGACTATGCGCGCCACAGCTGGCGGTACTACCAACTACGATACTTTTAAGTTGTCCGTTAAATGCTTGTTCTATGAACAACTTGCGAGTGTTATGTCTGTTTGTCTGTGATGTTACTGTTATCCTTCCAGCGACCCTGGTGTGTCCCAATTGCTCGGAATGATTAAGCTCTGCAATACTTTTCAATATCTAACAAGTGGTTTATAAACCAGTTTTGCAGTACATATAGAATTTCTGGAATGTTTGCGTTGTCCTATTTTTCCTTCTTTCAACAACATTTGTGGGCTTCGTGGTCCAGTGATTAGCAGCGTCACCCGTCGCTCACCAGGGTGTCCATTCAAATCCCATTTTTTAATTCCAGGTATTTCCCGGTTATTTATAAAAAATGTGCCTTATACCCCGGACAGACTATGGCTTATATCATGTAATATAGGCTGTCTTGCAATGAGCACTCATACATTGGATTTCCAGTGAAAACTAATTGTATGAGTGTTCATTGCAAGGCAGCCTATATGACATTATATGAGCCATGTCTGTCCGGGGTATTAAACAAAAAAAGGCGTTCAAAATTAACCCTTTAAAGTTAATGATATAATTTTGTCAGCAGAATTGCTTTACAATACGTCTACTTTGCGGGGCTGGTAGTGGGTACTTTGTGCTTCTACTCTGTAAGTTCGACACACAGCAAAAAAAGTTGTTGAATATTACATCGAAACTGCTGCAACCAGATCAATCCATCGGTTGTGTAATATCATATTGTACGATGTACATCGATTTTGCGAACAAAATTACATCCATTGCTGTAATATTATATCTGCTTTTTGCTATTACATCATTATTTCATACATCAGCTTGAATTACGTTGATCGATATTACAGTTTTTTTTGCTGTGCATATATTGTGAAGAGCAACGCAAACGTTTATGATCGACGTTGCCTTCGTTGGACTGTAATGTAGTTCCCTGGCTCCTAGCAAGCAACGAAATCGAGGCTTCAGTATGCCAATAACCCTCTCTATAATTCTTCTAGCTTGACTATGCTTGTGGTTGAAATGTAGAATGTCTATTTCATGCCGCTTACATCAAATTCGGTTAGTTTAATAAAAAAGAGGGGGTTAGAAGCAAGGGGTGTACCGTAAAGTACCCATATTCCGTTCACCTAAGCCCCTTATTCCAATGATTTTTGAAAAATTCCAAAATAATGTAAAATGTAAAAATCTCAAATTAAGGTAAATGTGCAAGAAGATATTAACAAATGTTATATTGGAAAAATATTTAATTCAGAAAACTTTCCAATGTATTGCAAATAAAGCCAAAAATGACCGGAATTAGGCGCTGAACGGAATTAGGGCACTTCACGGTAAGTGATTTTGAGAAATTCTCTTCATTGATATTCTCTTTCGTTAATAATTCGGTTGCAAACACATTTCTTGATGCGCTTACCATTCTGAATGCTGAATGAGAATCTATTTTAGCAAGCTATGTAGCCGAAATAGCGCGAAACTAGTTTGTTTAGGCGTGGTTATAAAAAAAAGTCGATGAAAAGAATCGCTCAAAATCACTTGCACCCCTTTGCTTCCAACCCCCCTCAATTTAGATTTTTGATTGAACCCCAAAATTCTGACAACTTCAAGATACATCTTATTGTATACTTCTCACTAAACTAGACTATTTGACTGATTTTGAAAAGTAAAAGTGCTATTTTATGTCGAATTGTCTCGTATACCTTCATAGCACTTATTGCTTGCTCCGTGAGGAATAACTGCCCTGAATCAAGACGATTGGTTGCAGAAGCGCAGTTTTATTACCGTTTCAGCACTTTGCAAAGTCAGAAAAACAGACGAGTTTGGTGCGATGTAAGCAATACTATTTTTTGAAAGTGAACAAGAATGTTATTTACTGAATTACTAATGCTAAAAAAAGAGTCTTACCGAGAAGCCATGGATGTCGCTCGCCGCCTTCATATGCCTCGTACATTTTTTGCCTTAATGCGAAAATGTTCCAGATGAAGGCGTCATGATAAGACCCTGGATATCTGGCTTCTATGAATCGTATCATAGAATTATGATCACAAGCCTGAAAACAATTTCCAAACATTGTAAAGGATTATGAAATTTTCTTCCTGGCACATCAATAGAACTTACAATCAAAGCATTCAAGCTGTAGAAACCCTTCCTGTTGTAATAAACATGGCGTGTATTCTTGCTAGGTGCAATAATTTTAATAAACGTACCATCTATTACTTGTGTGATACCGGGGATGCCACTTTTTAGGTAAAAGGTTCTTTTAACGTTCCGTTTCTCTTGCCCCGTTATTTCGGTTTTTATCCATAGTGGGCAGATCTTGCGTTCCATCACCTCCAGAAATTCTGCCAAGATATTTGACACCGTTGGTTGACTTAAACCAAGATGCATGTCCGTTACCGACACATTGTTGATAGCTTCCAGTCGCCAGAAATCTAAGCGATGCACATATTTTCAAGACTGGTGAAATAGCCGTATTCCTATACGTCAACTTGAAACTGTTTTTGGTTAAATCTACCAGATACAAAATCGCCTCCTTATTCAACCTGTAAAATTTCACGCAACTGAAAGGAAAAAAGGTTGTTCAATTGAAATGTAGCATTTCCACACCAAAACGAAAAAAAAATCTGATTTACAGTAAAACGTTGCGCAGAGATGTTCGTTATCACCCAATGCTGCATTTTTCATTGAGATCTTTTTACCCATCAATGAAAAATGCAGCATTGGGTGGTAAAGAACATATGCGCAAACATTCATGCAAATCGGAAATCATCATATCCAACCGATTTGCGATTTGGGCTAGAAATGCTCAATGATCAAATCTGCTACACTAGTATTTACTTACTCATTGTCTGATAACGACATTGGATTTGAAGTATCACGAATATTTCTACGCATTATAGAAATATTAACCAGCTCCTCTTGGTTATCCTCGTCTTCGTATAAAAAAATCAACACTTGTCCACATCGTTCTCTGGTAGTCAAAGCAGATTGCGACTAACTGGAAGGCTACTTAGACTTATTTTAATCATGGTTTCAATACAGGATAAAGAATCACGACTAGGACCAAAGATCTGACAACTTACGATAACAGTTGAACCACAAGCTAAATGCCATTAAAATACTTGAAATCCACCATGAAACCTCAACTTCGTTAATAACAAAAATTACACGAAATTCAATATTATTACAAAAAAATCTTCAACGGAACAACAAAAACAAACTTGAATATTATTAATCATTAAAAATATTGATCGTTATCTGTCAAAAATGACATGACGCTAGCGTTTTATGGCCAATTCAATCTGATTCAGTCGACTTCCATAATGCCTATTGCTACACTCGACAGCCACTCGACGGCGTCGAGTGTCGAGTTACTCGACGAGAGTGTCGAGCTACTCGACGAGAGTGTCGAGTTACTCGACACTCGACGCTCGACTCGACTTACATAATTGGGGCCATGAAAAAATACACATTGATCGACATCAAAGTTGCAAGCCTCACTCTGCGTAAAAGGTTGGCGCCCAATGCATAAGTTTCCGGGTTTTTTGACAGATATTGCATGGGCTAACTGTCAAAAAACCTAAAAACTTATCCATTGTGCGCCGACCTTAACTTTTATCAACTCTGACTAGACCCTCTCTACTTTTTTTTTTCATTTTGTTTATTTGGCAGGCTCAAATGTTAAAAGAATAACTTAGCGGAGCCGAGTAACATGGAATACCAATTTTGGTACTCAAAATACAAACAAAAGATATACAAATGCATATTATTAAAGAATTTTCCTGGGTGGCGATCGAAGCGGCGACAAAGCGATCTTCTCCCGTGCACGCAACTTCTTTCTTTCCCGAATTTGTTCCTCATTTTCGTTGAACCCGAAACGTGATCGCTGCTGCTGCATCTGAACATCGTTTCCCGTTGCATGCTCTCCGCTACTCTCGTCGGTCGTCGGGGTAGTCTCGTCCATTTCGTTATCTTCATTCAACATCTCCAACCCCGTGTCCGTTTCCTGGTCGCTAATGACAAACGACGCACCTTCCACCACTACACCAGCATACGTACTGCTGCTGTTTTGTTTTCTTTCACTTTGCTTTCCTTTTTCATTTAGTTGCTTCTCCGGTTCCTTCCGAGCCTTCCGCTTGGGACAGGAAAGCTTCCGGTGTCCGTCCGCCTTGCACAGAAAACATTTATCTTTGTTGCCATCATAAAATATATTTCCTTTGCGGTTGAAGAAATACAATGAAGTGGGGATTTCCTTCTTCACATCCATATATATACCGCGTATCCCTGTATAAACCTCAAAGCACATATCAGATGGAAATTTCTCCCGGATGATGCGTTTAATTTTTCCATATTTCCCCAGCACTTTATCCAGCTCGTTGTCCGGTACCTCTGGTGGCAAGTCATACACACGCACATACTCGATAAATTCACCAGCATGCGACATGCGTACCTTTGCCGTCGTTCTATTCGCATAATGGAAGATTAAATCCTCCGAATTGTATGTCAGAGCATGGAGCATCGCTTCCTTTAATTTGAACTTTATGAAGACTCCCCTTTCCTCACCAATGCGATAAACAGCTTCCATTTTAGCCGGATCCGCGTCGAGTGCTTTGGCGAAATTTACAATCTCTCCGATGTTTGGTTTAGCATCATAATGGCTGAAGCTAAACTTGATGGTGTTTTTTACTTCACACATCTTGCACCGTAGCAACAAAAGGCACAAACTGATAGAAACGAACAAAGGGCAACTATGTAATAGCGAGTCTCAAAAACAGGCTATCGCGGGGTTCACACCGAAATAAAAATTCGACTGCTGCTGTAGACAGCTGTGGGACAACTGGGACCCTCTCTACTTATTCGGCTTGATTTGGCATCAAAAACAAATTTGATTTCATGTAGGGGCTTATTACGGATGTCACTTCACGGTGAAAACTTGTCACTTGTCTTCACGGTGAAGTGATTCCCATTTGATTTGTACGGCAATCACGGCTCTTATTCTGAGTTTCACTTCATGATCACCGTGTAGTGACACCCGTAATCGATGTGCGGTATAAGAGGTGAGGAGAAAGGAAACTAGTGGACTCTTTCGTACTCGCGTCTTCTTATGCAGCAACAGACGTGACGTCACGTCTGCTGTTGCATAAGAACACCGTCAGAATGAAAGAGTCCACTAGTTTCCTTTCTCCTCACCTTTTTTTTACCGCACATCGACCCGTAATAAGGCCCGTAATGTCAGCCTAAACGCCCCTACTTTGGGCCCATACATAATTCAGCAATCGACTAAATTTTCAATAGCGACCAAAAATATTCATTAGTACCGTCCCAATGACGCGTTCATCAAGATAAAATTGATAAATAGCAGATTTTTAGCGATGGGTCCAATCTTAGATCCATAGGCCAACATTATAGCCATTTCCCCTACTTTGACGATTGCAACATTGATTACCAGATCGGCGGTAAATTGAATCAACTTATTTGAACCATTTACGGTCGCTTTAAGGAAACGTTCGGAAATATACATTAAGTCGATGAACTACGTAGACAGTGTTTGACTGATTTTTTACCCCCACCCGCTGTGTAAAGTCATTCATATATTTTGACACTGCCGTTAAACTGTCTACGTAGTGTATCGATAGCTTTTTATGAAAAATGTATGAAATATTTTATCAAGCATCAATATGCAGCGGCACAGAATAATATCTATCTACCTTAATTTACCTATAGACTGCGCTATATGCCTCGTATTAAAGTCTTTCCAGCATTGGTTTCACATTTCGATCCCAATTTTCGTCCCAGCGCAGTTGTTGAAATTCCTTCAGCTTTTGGTTAATTAGTTCCTTTTGATTAGTCAGTGCCACGTTCACTGGAAAGTCCTGAAACCATTCGCAAATTTGGCCAGCCAATTCCTTTGACGAATCGAAAATGAATCCATTCTGACCGTGCTGGACCAGTTCTTCAATGCTAGAACATGAAACCGGGAAAAAATTCATTAGAACTATTAAAATTAACGGAATTTCGATGTCTTAAATATACCATTTGAATTTGATCGCGCATACAGGCAGGCCGGAACCGAACATGTCAACTACCTTCATTGGGAGATCTAGTCCGCTGGAACTGTAGTGCAGACAGACACCGAGATCTCCTGCCGCCAACAGCTTTGGATAATCAGAATTCTCCAACCACGGTGTAATAACGATAACTTTTTCCCAAGTTTTTTTACGGATGAGCATTTTGTAGTGTTCTTTCTGCGGGCCTTTACCAGTGATGACGCAAACCAAACAGGGGTAAAGGATAGGGTCGTCAACGGCTTTGGTCTCGTAAGCGTCTAAAGCATCTAGAAGAATCCTAAATTCCTCATCCGGAGTCCAGCTGGTGCTGGATATCAGAAGAGCAGGTCGGTTCTGTCTGTACCGGATATCACCGTTGGAGAGCTTAACTGTGAAAGCTGAAACCTCTTGCGCATCACTGATTTTTTCATCGTCGGGAACGGTGCCTACAAATTCCGGGATAACTTTTGACAAATTCATGAACAAATTGTGTCGCTCCTCAAGTGTTGTTGGATGAAATTGTATGGGTGGTCGATCGTACAGGACAGTGGCCCTAAAAGGATGAGAGTTTGGCGGATTAATACACAATACTAGTTTCAGCATGTTGTAGGTAAATAAGTCACCGTATGTTCCAATTATCTTGGAGGTCTTGTTGCATCGCCTTGGTGACACAGAGATTTTCGGAACTCTTTCGCCCAAAGCGAAATTCAATTGCTTTGGCAAACTTTACGATAGGACTGCCTGGCGAAGACGTGATGGCCAGAATCGAATGTGTATAGTTATGCCAATCGATAATCATTTTTGTCGACCGTGCAAATAGACAGTAGACGTAGACTACCGCTACGGTTGGGATAGCCGGAGGATTCTGGCACAGGATAAACTTTGGTTTCCGGATGCTTATCAGCACCATCAGCAGGGTCAGAGCTTGCCAACATGATTTAAATACATATTTTAGAAGACCTGGGAGATGGAGTTCCGGAAAGGGATTCAAAGGGTGAATCCTAACGTTGGGGTTCGACGTTAGATCTTCCAACGGTTTAGATTCCACGTATGCAATCAGATCGACACAGTACCGCGTTTCGGCAAGGCTTTTTACGTGATACTGCATCCGTGGACTCCGGCCGATGTCGCCCAGCACAACCACACACGCGTTCTCTATATTGGGAGCCAAATGTTTCATCGCTTCACCATAGAATAAGCAACTTATTTAGAAACTATTTCACTATAAAATTCGTTAGTAACTGTTTTTGATTAATTTAGCGATGACGAAAATAGAAAGTTGACATCATATTTTTGTAAACATAGTTCAACACACTCATGGATGAGTCTACGTTTTTCTTTATTTTTTAACACAAAACAATTTAATAATTATGATTCTCCGATTTTTCACGTCAGCTCTGCAGATTGGAAATTATATGAATTATGTATTTAGCGTTCATATTTGAGGCATATTATATTCATATCACATCATATATATGGTTAAATTAAATTAAATAAAAAAAAAAAAAAACAGTATACGGTAGAATCCGAGGTAAAATCGGTAAAATATTTATACATAGTATATAGTTAATGTTTGAGTGATTTATTTTGTGCATACACCTCAAGACACACTGATTTCAGCGCTTTCACCACATCAATAATGCGGACGATGAAAGAATTAAAGCGGGTGGTTTGTTTTTCTTGCAGTTTCAATCATTTTCTTGCAGTTTTCAACGGAATTTTCGCGGTACGACTTGTTTTGTTCGTCGCTCGTATCGTCTCTCTCTTCGCTACGCCAAACACTCGGTTCGATTCGGTATAAATCAAGATGGTTGTTTGCAAGAAGTGGAAGCAGTTGGTGATAGGTGAAAGTTTTTATTGAAAATAAAGTGAACTTTTGATTGAAATCGGCTGAAATTAGTATTAAAACTACGTTTTGTTCGTTGGCCATCGAAATTGAGTATTGAACACGAAATAGAGCGGTGCATTTTGTCCTGGGAAGCGATCATAGCATTCCGCGCCTTCTGCACTTAAGTTGCTAGGAGCGGCTGTTAGAAACACCTGGAGAAAAATGGCACTGCTGAATGGAGCTCGTTTGAGTGTCCTCCGGAAGAATTCCGACGATGTCACTCAAGAAGTGTTGATCCGGACCAGTCAGATAAAGATCGGATCCGAAGTAAACTGTACCATCCGTCTGAAGAGTGAACTGGCGGAGAAGTTACACTGTAAAGTTTTTGTCAAAAATGAGAAGGTACGTAACTAGATTGTAATAATTTATTATATTATAAATTTGTCGATTGATGTTCGATCAAAACAATCATGATATTATCATATTATGATACCCTATGATCGGTATGGCGCATTTTTTTCCTGTAGCCGTTGATCTTCCAGGATGCATATTTTTACCAGTATTGGGCGTTACTGAATTGACAACGATTGAAAATACTAGCTGAACATTTCAAAAGGTCCTTTCGATTCTCTTAATCGACTTCTGTCGTTAATACTAGACTAATATTTGAAAAGGCGGAATTCCAGAATCATCATATCGAGAAAATTAATCCTATTTCACGACTTTCCATTTTCTGGATGATTTTATTAGCTTGACTATATAGTTATTAGTGCAATCTATCATCATGCATCACCAGAAAGATAACACGAAACGAAAATCAATTATTTTATTCGTGTGTTTCACTTATACATTTTTGCCAAAACATCAAACTTATACATTCCATAAGACAAACCACATAGGTCCTATAAGAATGCATAAAAGGTATGTGTGACCGCTTATACATTTCATTTGACACATGATATTCATTAACTTTTAGCAAGGCGTCTGCTTATTAGTTAACTTATACATTTATGAATAATCAGCAATAGAAATTTTCCAAAAGGTAGAAGGAGATTTCTATCCGTTAAGATGTCTCTTTAGAAAACATCGTACGCCCTGATAATTTCTTACATGTTGTTCCCCCCTGATCTTCCACCATTCGAACTGCCAACACTGGTGATACGCCGTGGAAATACACCCTCGGGTTTTTGTTTTTGTTCCTTCTTGGTTCTTCCTTCGCAAATTTGACGAGAGTGGAATTGATGAATCTACGCGAAACTGCACCAGTGCATGCGACACCTTGGTTTGAAATCCAAAACCACAAAAGTGATGATGTACTAAAAAAATATTCCATACGATTTGACAGCTAGCAAAACGTCATTATCATTTAATGAGCTGGATTACCTCATTGATTATCATTTTCACATCATTTCCATCTGCTGGCCGACCGTAACGTAGATTCACCGACAAACCGACATGAAACTTAAACTTAACTCTTGATCGAGACGATAACGGCCGATTCAAATGTGCAGCGATCCCATCTGTCAAAACCATAGAAATGTTTTATTTGTTTATTTGTTTATTTGTTATGGTTGCATCAACAGACTAGTAGTTTGTGAACTGTTCTCTCTATATGTGGAAAAATATGGTTTGTTTACATTTTGACTCTTCCGCCCCTTTCAAATGTTAGTCTAGAATAATTATGCATCCAAAAATTCCACATGATTTTCATTTGATCACACATACATACTTAGAAATTATCGCCGACTTCGGTAATTTTTACCGAAATCTGAACAGCTGAAATTTGATCATTTAAAAAAGGTTGAACATGTTTTGAAATTATTTTCAAATTCAATAGCCTTTAAATCTGTTCTGATTTCGGTAGAATTTACCGAACACGGACACAAAATCTTAGTGTATAGACAGAATCCACTCAGAATGCATTATAATATATTATAAATGAATATCTAGTATGTGTGGCTTTTATGTGTACACATATTTAGTATGTATCCGACACAGGTAAAGGGTGTCCACGATGAAATTGCCACACAAAATTGATTCGCAAAATTCGAGTTTTCATCCGATTTCCATCAAATTTTCAGGGATTGAGAAATAACTATTAAACTTCATTTTACCATTTTACTCGTATTTTATTTACAGTCCATACGCAAATGCCCGCACCTTGGCCTTAACCCCGGCCATAAGATTCTGCACAACCTGTGAATCAACCGTTTTTTGCATGTAAACCCATACTTTCTTCAGTTCCTCGACTGTCTTCACTACCTTAGGTCGTTTAAGAAGGTGCTGCTTCATAATCGCCCAGTACTTCTCGATGGGGCGGAGCTCCGGAGTGTTGGGAGGGTTGAACATTTTCGGCACGAAATTGACCTTATTGTCCGCATACCACTTCAGCACGTCCTTGGAGTAGTGGCATGAGGCCAAATCCGGTCAGAAGATTGTTGGGACGTTGTGGGCCTTCAGGAGAGGAAGCAGCCGCTCTGGAGGCACTCTTTTATGTACACCTGTCCGTTCATCGTGTCCTGGGTCACGAAAGGTGCACTCCGCTTCCCGCACGTGCAGATGGCTTGCCAAACCAGGAATTTCTTCGCAAATTTGGACATCTTCTGAGTGCGGACATGCTCCGGAACGCTGAACTTATCCTTGGCCGTGAAAAACAGGTTGCCGGGGATCTGTTTGAAGTCGGCCTTCACATATGTTTCGTCGTCCATGATGCAGCATTCAACTTTCGTCAGCATGTTGAGGTACAACTTCCTGGCACGGGTTTTGGCGGACTTGTTCTGCTTCTCGTCGCGATTAGGGGCCTTTTGTACCTTGAACGTTCAAAGCCCAGCCTTAGTTTTGGCCTTCTGGACAAAACTTCGGCTTAGGTGCAGCTTCTTAGCCACATCCCTAACGGAGGTGTTCGGATTTCGGTTGAAGGCCCCAACTACGCGGTTGTGATTTTTGGTATTGTACGGAATACTTTTTCCTTCACTTCTGGGCTTCCGATCGGTGGTCAACCGTTCCTCGAACCGCTTAATCACTCGCGACACCGTGGAATTCGCGATTCCCAACGTTCTAGCGATGGAACGATGCGAGAGATCCTTGTTCTCGTGATGAATGCGCAAGATTTTATCACGCACGAGCTGTTCTTTCGACTCCATTTCCGCGAGTTTTGATCACAGGACTTTAAAACTTTGCAGGATGTAAATAATGCACTATGAACTAAATCCACCCAAATTTTCATTAAATTCTACCCAACGGTTAAAAAGTTAGAGCAATTTCATAGTGTGGCAATTTCATCGTGGACACATTTTATCATTTGTTGATCACATTGAAAAAATTCATGTGTGAGATGCACGTTAAATTCAGCCTCTTTAATAAAAACAATCTTTGTATTTAACTTAGACTAATATTTCAGAGGCGTCGCGTGCCTCATTTGTTTACCTGTGCACCAAACTTTGTTCGTTATAGCTTACCATCACATATTAGTTTTTGTATATTTTTCAATGCTTCATGAATTCGAGGGACATATTCTCAATTATTATATTAATCACTACCTAACGTAACATTTGAAGGGCCTATAATCTTTTGACTGAAGTGTAATGAAAAATATCCGTCAAACACTTCCGAAAACATTTTTTGATAAAAAAAAAACATTGTCAAAATCTATAGAAAATTCACGACGTCCTATGAGGAGCAAACTTGAATTAATCAACTCTTTATTCATCAGAACAACACTATCAGAATGTACCAGGGGATGCTCATAAGTTTTCACAGGCACACCGGCGCAACCATCGGTAATTGAGAGATTTATAACTGACAAGAGAGTAAGAGCGAGCTTTTGCGCTCTCTTTTTCCATTACTCTCTTTGCCTGCAATCAGATATCCAAGTGCACAGCGAGAAATGCACACTTTAGGCACCCATACATCACAAATGTTCTTCTAATTTAAACTCATACATTCAAACTTGTCTGCCAGTATGATAACGTCCAAAGCGTACCAGACTGCTGTTTCCGTGTTGCTCCCGTTTGACGCGTGACTGCTGAAAGTTTCAATTACAACTAGTGGTGCAAACCGCCATGTATTGTGGAAAATTTGTGGTATGTTTCAAGAAGTGATAGAAGGTCTGCTTGGCTTACATCAGGCATTGACCATTCACAAACTTGCCACCCACCACCTAAAAAAGCTTGCTTTTAGGTGCACTATTTAACTAGTTTTGTCATGGTAGTGTTATCGATATGCTTAAAAATCAATGCATTAGGGATTAGGCAGACCATCCGAACCTTTGTGAAGCAAACCAAGGTCGAAGATTTAATTGAGCCACACTATAAATAGTGTATTCATGGTCACTTGTAATCTGGAGTAAAGTAGTACAGCTATAATGTGACCATAAAATCTATAAAAAATCTAAATGCATTATTTTAATTATTCACACCTGTGTCGTGCACTGGTTGCACATGTGGACGCAACACTGAATATTTGTAAAGGGCGGAATTCCAAAATCATTATATCGAGAAACCGGTTCCGAATTTAATGACCAGATTCCACTGGGGGAGAGAGAGATGATTCACAAGCAAACAGTCAGAGAAGTGAGAAAATAAAACAAAATAGATACCTACACGGTAAGAAAAAAGCACCCAAAAGTAAGTTCATTTCACTCATCTCGGTACTATAGTGCAGGAACCCAAAAGTAGGTAAAGCGGTTCAAAGTATTTTTCATTTACTTGTGTGCAATTCGTATGGAATTTTCCAATCGCTTTCTACCCAAAAGTAAGTTAGTTGTACCCAAAAGTAGGTAAATATGATTATACTCAACGTTGGGTTCCCACACTTTACTATCCCTGTTGGGTGGTTTTGCTCGTTCATTTTTGACAACATTAGAAGGAGAAAAGGAGACAAACTAGTCAAAAGTAGGTAACAGAGAATTGGCCGTTGGGTACTTTTTTCTTACCGTGTACGTGCTACTTTGCCCTTGCTGGGTTTATATCAGGCAGGTGAGTTGAATTGGCCACTTTGTCAAGCAGTTTTGGCGTGACTTTCTACCAGCGATTTCACAAAACTGGACCAACTAATATCTATTTTTTCATGAAACGCACAAATCAGTGCCAACATTTCAAAGGGGCGTAATTGCTTTTGTAAACAATGACTTTAGCCATCAATTTCTCGCGAATGAAATCTTACCTCTCCAAAATTACAATTCTAGCTGGTAGAGGAAACATTCCTCTACCTTCTAGTGTCATTATTTTTCATGAGTGAGCTTTTATTCGCGAGAAATCGACGGCTAAAGCCATTGTTTACAAATGCAATTACGCCCCTTTGAAATGTTGGCACTGAAATGTTGGCTACTTTTCTCGAGGTTCTAGAAGAAAAAATCTGAAAATAATGTTTTTTTTTTCAAAGTTCGAGTAGTAAACGTCATT